CGCGGGGCGGCAGCAGCGGCGCCAGCAGGCTGACGGGCTTCCCCGCCGGCCAATCGGGCCGCGCCGCCAGCCGCGCGCTCTTCGGCGATTGGTCCGCGCCCGAGCCCACCGGCCGCACGGCGTCGCCCGGCGTCAGCTGCATGAGGGGCGGCGGCTTGGGCAGCGAGAACGGCAGCGGCTGCGGGGAGGCGGCGGCGGCCGCGGCAGTGGAGTCCCCGCCGGACATGGCGGGGAGAGCGGGGAGAGCCCCCGCCGCGCGGGGATCGCTCGGGCGGCTCCCGGGAGCGCGGGGCGCGGAGCGAAGCGGCGGCTGCGGCGGCCGAGCGCGGGGCACGCCGGGAAACCGCTCACGTGGGGCCGGGGGCGGTGCGTGATGGGCAGGGCGGTACCAACGGCGCCGGAAGGAGGGGGGGTTCCGCGCTCCGCTTGTGTCAGCTCGGCGTTTGAGTGGACCGGGAGGTGGCGGTAGATCGCCCCTCGGCCGTGCTGCGGGTGGTACGCGCCGAGCTCATGCGCCCCCCCCGTGGCGGTGCGGGGTGGTACGGACCGAGCGCGGCCGGGGAGGCGCCTGTCCCCCCCCGCCCCGGGTGCGATGGTTGGTGCTGCTGAGGGGAGCGGGCGCCATGGCGGGAGGAACCGGGGAGCCGTGTGGGGAACGGGGGGAGAGCGATAGAAACGGGAATATCCCGATAGGAACGGGGGAGCCGTGTGGGGAACGGGGGAGAGAGCGAGGGGAGCGAGAATATCCCGATAGGAACGGGGGAGCCGTGTGGGGAACGGGGAGAGAGCGAGGGGAGCGAGAATATCCCGATAGGAACGGGGGAGCCGTGTGGGGAACGGGGAGAGAGCGATGGGAGCGAGAATATCCCGATAGGAACGGGGAGAGACCGATAGGAACGGGGGGAATCCGTGTGGGGACGGGGAGAGAGCGAGGGGAGCGAGAATATCCCGATAGGAACGGGAATATCCCGATAGGAACGGGGGAGAGGCCGATAGGAGCGGGAATATCCTGATAGCAGCGAGGAATATCCCCATAGGATCGGGGAATATCCTGATAGGAACGGGAATATCCCGATGGGAGCAGGGAATATCCCGATAGGAACGGGAATATCCCGATGGGAGTGGGAATATCCCGATAGGATCGGGGAATATCCCGATGGGAATGGGGAATATCCCGATAGGAACGGGAATATCCCAATAGGAGCGGGGAATATCCCGATGGGAACGGGAATATCCCGATAGGAACGGGGAATATCCCGATAGGAACGGGGAATATCCCGATAGGAACGGGAATATCCCGATGGGAATGGGGAATATCCTGATAGGAACGGGAATATCCCCATAGGGACGGGGAGAGACCGATAGGAACGGGAATATCCCCATATTAACAGGGAATATCCCGATTGGAGCAGGGAATATTCCAATAGGAACGGGGAATATCCCGATAGGAACGGGAATATCCCGATAGGAACGGGGAATATCCCGATAGGAACGGGAATATCCCGATGGGAACGGGAATATCCCGATGGGAACGGGAATATCCCGATGGGAACGGGAATATCCCGATGGGAATGGGGAATATCCCGATAGGAACGGGAATATCCCGATGGGAATGGGGAATATCCCGATAGGAACGGGAATATCCCGATGGGAGTGGGAATATCCCGATAGGAACGGGAATATCCCCATAGGAACGGGAATATCCCGATGGGAACGGAGAATATCCCTATGGGAATGGGGAATATCCCGATGGGAGCGGGGAATATCCCGATAGGAACGGGCAATATCCCCATAGGAACGGGGAATATCCCGATAGCGGGGCATATCCTCGCAAAAAAAGCCTGAAAATGAAAAAACAAAACACAAAAACAATGTTAAAGCTCAGTGTAACCTCAGCTGGAATTGTCTAAAATGTAACTGGGTTTTTAAGTAAAAGTTCAAATTTTCGTGTTTTCCTGGCWCAAATCCCTCCTGCCAAGGTTTGGGTGTGGAGGAAGGAGTTAATTTATTGTATCAAAATAAAATTATGTATGATTTAAAATCACTGCCTGTTAATTGAGTCAYTGGGAGAGACKGATWTGATATATTTGATAATCCTKGTTTAATATCAAAAATCCAATATCRAGAAATCAAGATCCACCAGAATAAAGTGGGAGAAGGGCTGGGAAAGGTGGAAAAATTCCCGATAATTTATAATCTTGTTTTTTACCACTTCACACCAAATTTAACCGGGGTGGGGTCGATCCCACACAGCAGAGTGAGAGAGGGTGGAGAATTTTGTGGGATAAATGGAATTTAATGGGAATTTAATTTAATTTAAATTAAATTAATGGAATTTAATTTAATTTAAAATCCAAAAGGGAATGACTTGGGAGTGACCTCTGCTCCCTTGGTGTGGTTATTTATGTCGAGTTTTAATTCCTGTCCCTGGAATTGCACAACCTGGAATATTTTTCCATTCCCAGCATTGCATCTCCCMTATCTCATCATCCTTTTAGGAAAGGGGATGTTCAGGGATGAAAATYTTATTTTTCCCGAATATTTTTGGATTTCCACCCACTCCTATTGMTATCAAACATGATTAATTTTGCACTTTGAGGGTGCAGATATTGAAATCCTTTCACTGCAGGGAGGCAGGAGCTGGTTTGGCTCRAATCAGGGAAATATGGAATGGTTTGGGGTAAAAATGACATAAAATTCCTGCAATCA